GTCACGTCCGCCTAGTCTCCACTACTAAGAGAACACGTGAAGGATTGAGAAGAAGAGCCAGTTAATCATTCGAGGCACGCCTTAACAGCCTGAGTGCGAATATAAAAATGAGTGTGTACGGTGAGCATGATCGTTAAGTACATACACTTATAATTTATACTGCATCCATAAAATGTGTCACATATGGGGATGTGATAGCACGCCTTGGTGCAGGCTCGCGCCGCGCTAGCCAAATACACTTGGTCCCACCTCCAGACCCAGATGGGTGGGGTGGGGAGAGTGTGCAGATACCAAGTAAGTACCCAACTAATTAACGCATAAGTCACCGTCTCTGAGCCCACCCTGCGCACGGTGAACCTCGTCGACAATGGAAGCCAGACTGTCTATAATTTATAAATAAGTACTGTGCGATGCGCGAAAATAGAAAGCGTCTCATTAGTACTGTTTAAAAGCAAAACAGTGAGCAGTACTCACACGAACAATCAGAGAGCATTTTGTGCAAGTATGAACAGCTGACCTGTTTGCGGGAGTGTTAGTGGCGTTACGAAGTCTACTCTCACGCGACCACCCATTTACGGCATGCCCCGTCGCCACACCAACTAATCAACAGTTCCACTATCGTATCCGACTATGTCGAGCGCAGGTTGCTGGCGCGACCGAAGTCGCCTCTGTGCATGCCGCCACACCTGGCTCGGATCCCAGTTTTGTGGAAGTGCTATAAAGGCCACATTAAGAATGAGCCACTGCAGCCTGACTCCCAGTCTTCCAGTCAGCCATGCCATGCCACGCCATGCCATGCCACACCACACAACAAAACACATATAGTGGACTGACCACGTCGTCCAAGTTTTCCGTCATTTGGGAACCTTCCAAGTCACAGCTTCAAGCGCGTCAGATTGTTTATAGTGAGGAAACATACGCTGAACCATCGATCTCACTCTCCTTTCTACCTCCAGCATCAGACCATGGGAGTAGAAGGAGCCTTCGCTGTCCTAGTCCATACATCAACCAATTAAGCAGGATAGTACAGAAAGGTGGGGTGAGATGAAATACCTGAATGAGATCGTCAGCGGTATCCGGCATCACAGCTTTCACGGTGCAGAAGGCGCTAGACCTTGAGGAACCAGCCTGTGGCTCTTCCTCTGGTTGGGGGTTAAGCAGCGCGGAGACGGGCGGTGGAACCTTCTCGGTGCGAACAGCGTTTGCCTGTTGTGCTTTGATATCTAAGGTTAGGTCTGAATAGAGTCCACGAACGTACTCCAGAACGTTGGGATCTCTGGTAAGACGAGAGAAGAACAAAGAGTCAATTAGAAGATTACGATAGGAGGGCCGGAAAATTGGCAAATTCAGAAGTACATTAAATTCCCTAACTTTTGAAATCTCAACTGAAATTCTGAAATGTGTTTTCAGTTGGAACATAGTAATCAAGTATATTTACAATAATGAATATCGTACAGACTAATCTCAATACATTTCAGCCACTTCAGGACGCCGGCTTTTGAAAGAGCTTCTTCATGACTGCCTGCAAAGAATTATTTTGTAAACGATGACCATTTGAGTAGTATGCATTTAATTAATCCATTTTGTATTGCTTGTACTCTTTTGATAGCAAATTAAACTTTATTCAGATTTTTTTATTTGAAGAAAGGGTAGCTTTCCGTTTTAGAAAAGTTTCTGATTATGATACGTTCTGCAGCCGTGAAATGTGCGATCATGAAGTAACGCATCTGTCCATTTATTAGTGCTACTTATAAATTATACAACTTGGTCCACAGTCATGGCAAAATTTTATGAGAACTATGTGGCTTCTTCCTTACACAGTAGGAAAACATGTACCTTTCCTTAGAGAGAATATATACAGCATGTGGTTTGGATACCTTGAATTCAAGTATAAAGACTGGTAGGGTTCAAAATTATTCGGCAATTTAGAAACTTTTTAGAACAGAAAGGTACCCTTCCCTCAAGCATGACATTTGGAGAAGGGGTAATTTGCTATTAAACGAGTACAAAAAATATTGTTGTTCATATTTTCTGAATAATACACGTGAATTTAAAAGGGCAGTGAAAATCAATGAAGAAAATGCACGCTACTTAAGTAGTCATTTTTTATAGAATATACTTTTTACATACGGTCAGAATAATGTTCGTTCTAACGTCAGCAACCTGACGTGATTTAAATACATTGAGATTAGGCTGCCCGATTAGCATTATTGTATACATAATTAATATGTCAAAATCTAAAACAAATTTCAGAATTCTGATTGAGATTTCATGAGTTGGGGAATTTACTGTAGATGCGATCGCTGTTTATCAGTCTGCAGTTTCAGGAGCTCTCCGAAACCATTTTTTTAGATACAGCTGTAGAAATTGCAGGCAAGGGTTTCAAAAGAGAGAACCCGAAACGTTAGGCCACTAAACACTATGTTTCAGCGGTCGCATCTACTTCATTTTCAGCTTCCTGGAGATCGCCTGTTCGCTTCTATCAACAACTGTCAAACTATGGATATTTTTTCAAGCAAAACGAAAAAAATATCAGGTTAGTTATGAAACGCTCGTGCCAAGCTCGCGGTCGTCTAACATACGCAAAGTATCAACTGAAAATGTAGTGAAAACTTGGATTAGGCGTCAGAGTTAAACGGGATTCAGGATGACTGCTTTGACTGAATACGGGGGGACTTACATAACATCGGAAGGCGCCATTTCGCGTATATTGTTAATGTCCTCTTCAATTGCGTAGAGGAGAGAGTAAATGCAGGCGAAACTGGAGGGAAGAATAATAGTAGTATGTGACTTCCAATGGTTTGAAAATTGATTTAAAAAATACAATTCACCAGTTAGAGAGCTAAAGATTAAAAAACAAATAGACGAATAGAACGACAGAGAGGTCTTACTTGCGATGATTCGAAAACTCAGTCAAAAGCTGTAGGAATTCGGCGGCTGCGGTGGAAAATTCCTGCTTTTTAGACCTATTTGAGGCATCTTCGGAGAACGCCAGCTGTGTAATAGGATTAAGAAGCCCCGGCACAACCATGCCATCGCGCACAGCTTTTACCATGGTTGCAACGGCCGACGAAAGTTTTTTAAGGAGTCGACTCTTCTGCCTATTGTAAGAGGAAGAGAAGAAAAGGCAGAGTGGTAGTGAGATTCAACTATGATGCTGCACCTATAAAGGGAGCTGAAATCCGCATGCCACCCCTATCCTATTGATGTGTTAAAATTCTGGTCAAGTGTAGGCTGTAAACAGGTGATGTATGATGGCGTATGATAAGGTGTCCCCTAAGTGGACCGCATTATAGATGTGCTAGACCGACGTGAGGGGCATATCAGGGTACGGTAGGTATTATTCGGGCTGCGCTC